TGTTCATCTAGCTCTACACCTTGTTATCTCAGATTCTCCAGCATCTGCAGTTCCTACTACCTCGAAACTGGAGTCACAGGTAGATAGGATAGTGAAGGAGGTGTTTGGTATGCTTGCCTTTATTGGTCAGTGCATTGGGTATAGGAGTTGGGAGGTCATGTGGTGGCTGTACAGGACATTGGTTAGACCACTATTGGAATACTGCATTCACTTGTGGTCTCCCTGCTATAGGAAAGATGTTGTGAAACATGAAAGGGTTCAGAAAAGATTTACAAGGATGTTGCCAAGGTTGGGATGTTTGAGCTATAGGGAGAGGCTGAATAGACTGGGGCTATTTTCCCTGGAGTGCCAGAGGTTGAGGAGTGACCTTATAGAGGTTTATAAAATCATGAGGGGCATGTATAGGCTGAATAGTCAAGGTCTTTTCCCTTGGGCTGGGGAGTCCTAAGGCATAAGTGTAAGGTGAGACGGGGAAGATTTAAAAGGGACCTAAGGGGCAACTTTTTCACACAGAAGATGGTGCGTGTATGGAATGAGCTGCCAGAGGAAGTGGTGGAGGCTGGTACAACTTCAACATTTTAAAGGGCATTTGGATGTGTATATGAATAGTAGGGATTTAGAGGAATATGGGCCAAATGCTGGCAAATGGGACTATATTTAGGATATTTGGTCGTCATGGACGAGTTGGACCGAAGGATCTGTTTCCATGCTGTATATCTCTATGACTCTATGTATGTTGTGTCATGAGACAGAGCTCTTTAACCTCACTGTAAAGCAGCCTTTGGGAAATAGTGACCATAATTTCATATCAGATTACAATGTGATATCCTTTGAAACTAGGGTCTTAAATCTGAGCAAAGGAAACTATGAGGGTATAAGGGGCAAGTTGGTAATGGTGATTTTGGGAAAAACTGGAAAAATGTGACAGTAGACAGGCAGCAGCTAGTACATAACGAAGGGGCTGGATGGCTGGTTTATGATGCAGTCTAACACCAACAGGTTCAAATCCTGTACTGGCTGCAGTCACCATGATGGCCCTGCCTTCAACTTCATCCTCACCTGAGGTGTAGTGGTGCTCAGGTTAAACCACCCCCAATCATTTCACTGTCTGTCTCTAATGAGAGAACAGGTCCATGGTCCTCTGGGACTATGGCCACTTTATCTTTTACCTTTACCTTATATTTAAAGAAACATTACTCAGTATGAGATAGATATTCACTGCTCCATGGCACAAATACCCAAGGGGAATTAGCCATGACTAACAAAACAAATTAAATATTGCATTAGATAAAGGAATGTGAATGTCGGGAAAAGGGGAAAATCTGGGATTGGGAGCAGAGTAGAACCCAGCAAAGTAGGACCAGGAAACCTATGAGGAAAGTGAAAAAAAGGATGTGAATGTGAGTATATAGCAGAAACACAGACTGTAAAAGCCTTCTTTAGGTGTGTGCAAATGGAGAGATTAGGTAGAACAAATATGGGTCCATTACAAGTGAAGATGGGAGAATATATGATGGAGGCCAGGGAAATGGCAAAAAAAAAAATAAACAATTACTTTGTGTCTGTCTTCATAGAACAAGATACAATCTCCCAGAAATCATAGGCAATCAAATGGCTTGTAAAACTGAGGGACTAAAAGATTTTAGTATTAGTAAAGAGTTCTTGAAAAGTTAATTGTATAAAGGGTTGATAAATCCTCTGGACTAGATGAGCTTTATTCCAGTTTGACATCAGTGGTGGGGAAATTTTAAAATCTATTATAAAAGATATGATGGGGTAGAGACAACATAAGTAGCTCTGAGGGAACCTCTCTCTTTCACTCACCTTAATGTATGTGTGAGTTTTTATCCTTTCTCTCAATCTGTATCCTTCAGTTTCACATATGTGCATGTGTACGTGTGTATGTGTCTCACTGAACAATTACTCTTTCAATGTATGTGTACGATAAGGTTAGGGTCTCTAGGGTCCCATTCTGCCGATCTTTTTCTTTCTCAAACTGTGTCTGTATTTATCTGCATACATGTATGGGTCTGATTAGGTATGCCTGGATATGTGTGTGCGTGTGTGTGTGTGCGTGTGTGTTGGGACCATGCTAAGTTTGCAGATGACAAAAATAGGTGGAGAGACAGGCAGCATTGAGGAAGCAGGGAGGCTGCAGAGGATTTGGACAAGGTAGGAGAGTAGGCAAAGAAGTGGCAGATGGAGTACAATGTGGGAAAGTGTGAGATTATACATTTTGGTAGGAAGATTAGAGGCATAGACTATTTTCCAGATGGGGAAAGTCTTTGGAAATCTGTAGCTCAAAGGGACTCAGGAGTCCTAGTTCAGGATTCTTTTAAGCTTCAGTTAGCCGTAAGGAAGGCAGATGCAATGTTAGCATTCATTTCAAGAGGGTGAGAATACAAGAGCAAAGATGTCCTGCTGAGACTGTACAAGGTTCTGGTCACATAACATTTGGAATATTCTGAGCAGTTTTGGGCCTCGCATCTGAGGAAAAATGTGTTGACATTGGAGGGGTCCAGAGGAGGTTTACAAGAATGATTCCAGGGATGAAGGGCTTGTCATATGAGGAGTGGTTGAGGACTCTGGTCTGTACTCAGTGGAGTTTAGAAGAATGAGGGAAGATTTGAATGAAACTTATAGGATACAGAGAGGCCTGGACAGAGTGGACTTGGAGAAAATATTTCCACTAGTAGGAGTGACTAGGACCCAAAGGTACAGGCTCAGAGTGAAGGGATGACCCTTTAGAACTGAGATGAGGAGGAATTTCTTCAGTCAGAAAGTGGTGACTCTGTGGAACTCATTGCTGCAGAGGCCAAGTTATTGAGTATATTTAAAACAGAGTAAATTAGGTTCTTAGATAACAAGGTGTAGAGCTGGATGAACACAGCAGGTCAAGCAGCATCATAGGAGCAGGAAGGCTGATGTTTCGGGCCTAGACCCTTCATCAGAAATTAGGTTCTTGATTGGTAAGGGGATCAAGGTTACAGGGAGAAGGCAGGAGAATGAATTGAGATATGTCATCCATGATTGAATGGTGGAGCAGATTCGATGGGCTGAATGGCCTAGTTCTGCTCCTATATCTAATGGTCTTACAGATTGGGTGGGGTGTCTCTGTGTGTGTGTGTGTGTGTATACACATTTGTATGTCTGCCTGTGTGTGTACATCTGTATGTCTGCCTTTGTATGTGTGCGCGTATATATCTGTATGCCTGCCTATGTGTGTGCGCGTGTGTGTATATACATCTGTATGTCTGCCTGTGTATGTCTGCCTGTGCGCGTGTGTGTGTGCGCATGTGTGTGTGTGCGCACGTGTGTGTGCGTGCGTGTATGTGTGTGTGTATGCGCATGTGTATGCGCATGTGTCTGAGTGCATGTATGTGTGTCTGTGTGTGTGTGCGCGTGCGCGTGATGCATCTGCTGCACATGACGCAAATAGTTTTTCTATTGAATTGTGTTCCACTGGTTTTTGAAGCTGAGAACCCACAGGAAAACAGGACATCCTTTTGGAGGCTGGTTGTTACGCAGCTGCTAAAAGACAACACTGCTCTCCCGACTTCCTTTCTGTTTGTGTTAGACTGCCTTCATCATCAAAAAGCTGATCAGCAGGACATGGAGGTGCATTTCCAACTCAGAAACATTTAAAAATCTGATGATAGCTTATCACTTCCTCAGTCAGTTGCTTCCTCAGTCCCTAGCTCCTAGAATTCATTCACTCACTCCTTCACGCCCTCATGCCCTCAGTTCCTCATTCCCTTAATTTCTCAATCCTTCAGTCTCTTAGCCCCAGTTCCTCGGTTGTAGAACCATTAAATCATACAGTACGGAAGAGGCCTTTTGTCCCATCAAGTCTGTACCACCAAAACATTCAGTCCTTCACTCCTTCACTATTCCTCTGATTCTCAGCATCAAACAATGATTGGGGAAGTTGGAGAAGAGGAGAGAGAGGGAAGTGGCAGGTGTGGGGGTGGTGATGGGGAATGCAGGTGTCGGGGATAGGGGAAGTGGATTGGAGAGAGGGGAATAGGCAAGAGAGAGAGGAGTGGGAGGGAAATGGGGGAGGTGGAATGGGTAAGTGGGGACAAGTGGGGAATTTGGGAGGGTTGAGGAAGTGGGGGTTGAGGGCTTGGGGAACAGGGATCACTGAGGGAAGAGAAGGGAAACAGAGGGGGAGAGGCAGTCAGTGCCTTGTCCTTTGAGGTCCTTCACAATGATTCTCTAACAGTGATCCTTTCTTTCTTCCCCATCCAGGATTTTTTCCTGAATCACTGTTCGTGTGGAGCTGTTGGGATCTATCAGAGTCTGGCAAACCTCCCTGATCTCCAGATAGGATCTTGCAGCAGCTCTCCTAGCCACGGGATCTCCTTGAAGCGGGAGAACACAGCGCAGAGCATGGAGAGGACGGAGAGCAATAGCCAACAAGGTCTGTCACTGACTTTAGCTCCTGGCCCAGCACCAACTACACTCTGTTTACAAAAATACCACTCAGTTCAGTCTCTGAACATGGAATCTTGCAACTGCAGGAGTGAGTGAGTGAATGATGAGTGAGAAAGTGAGTGAGTGAGAGATGAGTGGGAGTGAGCAGTGAGTGAGTGAGAGACGAGTGAGAATTAGGGGTGAGAGAGTGAAGAGTGAATGAGTGAGAGTGGGAGAGAAGAAAGTGAAGGATGAGTGGTGAGTGAGTGAGGAACTCAGTGAGTGAGGGGTGAAAGTGAGTGAGGGGTAAGTGAGTGAGGCGTGAGAAGTGGATGAGTGATTGAGGGCTCAGTCAGTGTGGGGTGAGTAAGTGGATGAGGGCTCAGTCAGTGAGAGGTGTGATTGAGTGAGGTGCTCAGTGAGTGAGGGGTGAGTGAGTGACGGCTCAGTCAGTGAGGGGTATGGCTGAGTGAGGGGCTCAGTTAGCGAGGGGTGAGTGCATGAGTGAATGAACAGTTTAGGCTATTGTTGAGCAGTGTTCTTTGCTTTATACATTGCTGAGCAATGAGTGAGTGGATCAGGGTATGCTGCTGAATGCAAACTGCACTCAACCATCGTTGGAGCTTTGACCCTGCCTGGTTTACACTGAATAGGGTTGAGGTAAGTGTGTGAACGAAGCCCCCATTACTGTTTGGGAGCTTTCAGATGTAGTACTTCCAGAGTTTGTTGGGTGTCCCTTATCCCTAGCTCTCAGCTGGGGTGGGATGGACTGCTGTGTCCTGGGTTTAAAGTATATGACAACAGTGAGCTTGCTATGAACAGGAGCGATCGGGTCATGTCTGTTACATAATGGTGCCTCTATTACAGCTGAGGATACACAGCCAAATGGCAGAGAATGGAGCAGAAAGCACATGTGCAGAAAGACGTTAAGTCAGCCAGACCTGATGCTTGGCCATGAGGGACTGAGTGAGCACAATTCTCACTGCCAGGATCACCAAGATGTGAGTAACGTGGATTTTTAACATTACACTTTGAAGAGCAGTCAGATTATTTTTAAAAACGTTGGCAACTGATTTGAGAAAACGTTGTGAGAAAATTCACTGAATTGACTTGGTGTTTTACAGTGGAGAAACATTTTTGAAACTAGAAGATTCTGAAACTCTCCTTGGGTCACCAGCTGGTTTGACATTACACCTGAGACAGTCCGTGCATCCTGTTTCTTGGCCAATTTCCCTGTTAAATGAGTTAAAGCTGATGTTTTGAAGCATACCCTGGCAGATCTCGGTTCAGTCATTTAGCACGGTGCCTCTGTCAGGAAATCCCGAGTGGGGACTCAGACTGAGACTATAGAACTACAGCAGGTTGCACATACTCTATGGGACGCAGTGGTCTTTTCTTGGTCTATATAAAAACTGAAAGAACTGTGGATGCTGTAAATCAGGAACAAAAACAGAAGTTGCTGGAAAAGCTCAACTGGTCTGGTAGTATCTGTGAAGAAAAAAATCAGAGTTAATGTTTCGGGTCCGGTGACCAGGTGTCCAGAGGTAGGGTCATAGTTCTGAGGAAGGGTCACCAGACCCGAAATGTTAACTCTTGATTTTTTTCTTCACAGATGCTGCCAGACTTGCTGAGCTTTTCCAGCAATTTCTGGGTTTTTTTGGTCTATGCTCTTTTTTTGGTCAAAGGAAGCTTTCTTTTTATCCTATCATGGCACATGAGCATTTTCGTTTACTGTTCATCCCTAGTTGCCCCTTGAGAAGGTGGTAGTGAGCTGTCTTCTTGAAGAACTGCAGTCCATGTGCTGTAGGTAGACGCACAATGCTAGTAGGGTGGGAATTCCAGGATTTTGACCCAGCAATAATAAAGGAATGGCAATATATTTCCAAGTCAGGATGGTGACTGACTTGGAGGGAAACTTGCAGGTGGTGGTGTTCCCATGTATGTGCTGCTCTTATCCTTCTAAATGGAAATGGTCATGGGTTTGGAAGGTGTTGTTAAGGATATTTGGTGAATTTCTGCAGTGCATCTTCTAGATAGTGCATTCTTCTGCTTTTGAGCTTCAGTGGTGGATGGAGTGGATGCTTGTGGATGTGATGTCAATCAAGTGGGCTGTTGTGTACTGGTCGGTGTCAAGTTTCTTGTGTTTTGTTGTGTTTTGGGGAGTATTGCATCACACTCCTGACTTGTGGAACTTGGCTACATGAGGGAATATTAAAGCGAGCATAAGGATCAACCACTGAGTTGCTGAGTTGTGTAGACCATCAAAGTACAAAGACATTGATAGCTCACTCTTCACTACTACTGCAGCGTAGGGAGCTGTGGTGTTTTGTAAGTGAAGAATGGATGCAGTTCTTCAGATTAGTGGAAATTGGACAACATATTCCCAATTAACAGAGATTAGCCTTGAATTGATCCCTGCCACAAACTCCATTCCTGAAGCACAGACGTAATCCTGACAACTGCCCAACACTAAACCAGACTGTTAACAGCTTTTGTGTCGTATTCCCACCATGCAACAACTGTCACACACATCACATCATACAGACAGGAAGGAAACTAGCCAACAGAATACACAAACATCAGCTAGCAGCAAGATGGCACGACAAACTTTCCCTAACATTAGTACACTCGGACAATGAAGGCCATCAGTTTAACTGGGGCATTGTAACCATAGTAGCCCAAGCCAAACATAGACACGCACAGGAATTCCTCGAGGCATGGTTCTCAACCCAGAACGCAATCAACAAACATATAGAATTGAACCCCATATACAAACCCATAAAGAACAGAACCAGAAATGACAGTACTCACCATAATGGACTGGACAGTATAAATTCCAAGTGGGTAGAACAACATTGCTTCATTGGAGGCCTCATTGATGATGTTACCTAGCACGGTGATGAAACGTCTGAACAAAAACAAGCCAGCTTGGTGAGCAAGTCAACGACCTCATCCATGACCTGAGCTACAGATCTTTGCAAAAACCTTTAACACCTACGGGCGCAACACTCTAAAAAATTGCCAAACAATGGGAAACCTTCACCAACCGACTGAGTGCTACCTGTGAACATCTTCACTTCCTCCACGAATACCTCAGGAACCAGGTACTGCCCCAAACCTCCACTCAACAACCCACAGGCTATAAAATAGCTGAACAGAACGGATACAGAATGCTACGAGCAATAATTAATGATGCCCATAATCGACTCCACAGGTATGAATGAGAAATTGCGCGTCAAAAATCACAGTATCTAACCACTACAGACCAGTAATGGACTACAACCCTAGAACAGGCCATTAACACAAAACCAAAACTAAGAAGAGACACGAACAACAGGAGAAATTCACCAAACTGATCCACCACAAAAACAAGGACAACAACAAACCGGACACATGGATGAGAAACCTATCTATCTAACAGGCAACTCACAGAAACTGAGATGTCCTATTACACGGACTGAACTATAACCACAAAGATGGGAACAGAACAGATTTCATGGCCGCTCTGGAGAATACATTAAAAGACAACAGACTCACAGATGAAACACAATAAGCCAGCCGCCAAACTATAATCCCCACACTAAGCCAGAGGAACGAATGGAACACCCTGAATACATCAGAGAGAAAAGCACTAGAAAAGTTCATGAAAGACAAGAATATCATAATCCTACCAGCAGACAAAGGGCACATGACCATCATTATGAACAAACCAGACTACGTTAAGAAAGCACAGACATTGCTTGCAGATACAAACACTTACCAACAGGTGACGATAGACCCAAAACCACAGCTAGGTAATAGGATCAGACACTGAAGCGACTAATGAATGCAGGACAGATAACCAAGATGGACTTCATGAGAACGAAACCAGAGGGCACAAACACCCTCTCGCTTCTACAGATTGCCTAAAAATACATAGACAAGACACCCCTCTCAGACCCATTGTCACCCTACCAGGCACACCTTCACACAAACTGGCCAAGGACCGACAACAGAGATTGAAACACCTGCTAGATGGATCACCTCATTCTAGCCACTCAACCCAAGATTTCCTCGATACCCTCAAGAACATTAAAAATCAGCATCAACAAGGTTATGGTATTCTTTGACGTCACAGCTTTATTCACTTCAATTGACATCCCACTAGCCAAAGAAACACTGGCCACATTACTAGAGGAAGCAACAATGCAGACCAGCAGCTCCATCAGCAATGACAACATACTCAAACTACTAGACCTTTGCCTCACCACACACTTTGTCTTTAATGGTCAAGTATACAAACAGATCAATGGTACACCAATGGGGTCACCCAACTCAGGACTCATTGCAGAAGCAGCATTCAAAGACTACAACACACCACCCTCCCCCACATTCAACCTAAACTGTGGATCCAGTACATAGACGACACATTTGTCATTATTAAATGCACCAAACAAGAAGAGACCCACCACATCATCAACAACATACTCACCGGGATTAAATTCATGAGAGAACAAGAAAAAAAACAATCAGCTTCCGTTTCTGGATGTCAGGGTTGAACATATGACCAACGGGGAGTTCCAAACTTTGGTATACAGGAAAACAACCCACACTGATCAAATCCTCAACTTCCACAGCAACCACCCCAAAGAGGAAGAGCACCTATACAAAATCTTTGCTATAAATCGATATCCCTGCAACTTCATCCACAGGTGCCTACTAAATAGACAACAGCAGGAGGACACAGTACGGCCTAACACAATGGCCATGCTGCCCTACATCAAGAACATATCAGAACTGACAACGAAACTCTTACGACCACAAGGAATCATGGTAGCACACAAGCCCACAGCCATGTTACGACAAACACTCACAAGAGTTAAAGACCCTATACCCACGACATGCAGAACCAATGTAGTTTACAAAATACCATGCAATGATTGCCATAAACATTACATCGGACAGACCGGAAGGAAACTAGCCATCAGAATACATGAACATCAGCTAGCAGCAAAACAGCACGATGAACTTTCCCGAATATCAGTACACTCGGACAATGAATGCCATCAGTTTAACTCGGACATCATAATCATAGTAGCCCAGGCCAAACATAGATACGCACGGGAATTCCTAGATGCAATCAGGAAACATATAGAATTGGACCCCATGTACAAACCCATACAGATCAAAACCGGAAATGACAGTACTCACCATAACGGACTGGACAGTACAAATTCCAAGCGGAGTAGAACAACATCGCTTCATCGGAGGCCTCACTGATGATGTCATCTAGCATGGTGACAAAATGTCTGAACGAAAACAAGCCAGCACGGCGAGCAAGTTAACGACCTTATATTCCCACCAACAAAACACCACCTGAATGCAACATTTTCCCAGCCTGTCCACAGCTGAAACCCTTATTTATGGCTTTGTATCCATTCCACTCAAATGCTGGTCACCGACATCTTGCTCATCATAACCTGACGTCGTTTAAAACTTCGATGCCCATGCCTTAATCCACTGCAAAGCCCATTCACTTGTTTCTGTGCCCATTCACACACACACACTAGTTCCCCATTAAACAACACCTCCATTGTGACATTCTAATCCTTGTTTTCAAATGTCGTCTAGCTAAATACCAATTACAGAGTTCACTGTAATAAAATTAAGACACATCCATTGATAAAAGGCCATTCAACACATTTAAAACTGTTTGAGTACTTAATCCCTTATGAAAATGACCCTTTAACTCCCCCTTGACCTCTCACCAGCTCCCCGATCACCCCCAACCCCCCAACCTGGCCTAACTACACCCCATCATGCAACCTCCCCCTGACTCACTGCCAGTCTGCCTACTACCCTGACCTCTGACCTGGATAACCCCTACAATCTGACTTCCTCCTCCATTTGACTCCCCTCAGCCCTCAGATGCACCTCAAACCTCGAACTCCCACTGAAACTCCAACTTTCCTGGACTCTGTCTGCCCTCATAACAGTTTGGCTGTGCCATCTCCCCCCCCAACCATTCTCCAACTGCCCTAATGACCCAAACCAAACCCGACAACTCCTTCTGATCTGACCACCTACCCTACCCCCCCCTTTACCCATCTACACCCCACCCCATCTCACTTACTTAACCGATCAAAACCCCGAAACTCACTTGTCTACCCCCCAACGACATTATTCGTGATAAGATGTGGAAAGAAACCAATCATTATCACAGTGGAGATTGATTTATTGCTTAAAAAGGAAATTAGATGATTTACTAACTTTGAGGTAGGGTTATGAATACAAACGTTTTCATAAGAGATTAAGTACTCAAGCAGATTTAAATGTGTTGAATGGCCTTTTATCAATGGATGTGTTTTAATTTAATTACAGTGAACTCTGTAATTGGTGTTTAGAACGCTATTTTATCTGAGAGTGGTCTACCTCTAAGCCTGAGGTTTACTAATAGGCCAGTTGGCATGCAGGGTGTTAGGACAATGATGGGTGAGGGGGGCATAGGTTGGCATGTATTGATACTTGGACTCAATGTATTGAGATTGGCAAGGAAGCAATCATGAGCTGGCCTAGAGATTCCAAAGGGTTCATAGGGGTTGGCTCATGGATAGACATGAGGTGGAGTAAATGGATGCCGGTGAGGGCCTAATGTTTGACAAAACCAACCATGGCAAAGTCCCCGAGAATTGGAATGGGCCTGTTAGCCAGCTTACCAACCTGGCAGCCTATCGGATCTGTGTCCAGGGAACAGAGGTTCCTGACTCCAGCTGGCTCCTAGTCTGGCTTACCCCCGGAATGAAACCAGTAGGGCTCTTATTTGGATGTGGGCAAACCAGGTTGGGAAATGTCCTGACTCAAGCTACCCACCTCGACGGTGGAAACACAGCTCATTAACTCAGTTCCTCTCTCTGCAGACGCTGCCTGACCCATTGAGCTCCTTCAGCACTTTCTGTTTGTATTTCAACAACACCTGGAACATTGCCAATCTTTTCTCTTGTGCATTTCAGGAGGAAGGCCAATCCACTGGGAAGATCAAGCTCCTGCCTAGGGATTCCAAGTTAAAAAATCACCCAGTCAGAGATTCATTCGCCATGTTAAAGCAGTCCTGCCCTCAGCTTTATAGGTAACTATTGGCTCTTACCCTGCATTATGCCTAATGTGCTGTATGTTACTCCTTCACTGACGTCTTTTGCAGGTCAGGACCACATGCTCAAGCTGGGGGGATTGAGTTTTGCACTGTCTCTTTGTCTAGAATTGGTGGGAGGCAGGAAGGTATTATGGATGTCCAGTGATATCAGTGGATGGGGAGGGAGTGTACCATGTGTTAGGGGATGCACTCAAGTGTTGGGGTCAGGGTGGGGAGAAAGGGGAATGATCAATGCTTTGTGTATTCAATTGGGGTGGTGAAAGAAACAGGTTCGTGTCTGTCATGAAGGTTTCTAGACAGAATTTTTCTAAGCATTTAGACATGTTTCTGACCCATTCCTCTCTGCATGCCACTATTGGGTAGGGAATTGCCTGACTTCACATTCTGGTGTAAAGAGACAGTTGTTGTATACCTGTGACCTCCAGGGTTGACCATACCAAGGGTCTGGGGTCAGAGAAGCTTGCCCACATCCTACCATTTGATCAAGCCTCCCACAGCATACCACAAATACTCTAGGAAACCTCTGAGTGCAGTTTCAGACTTTAGGATATGACTCAGGGGCACAGAACAGGCAGAGCGATGCTTCAAGGATAGAGAACAGGCAGAGGAATGAACCCCGGGGGCAGAGAATTGACAGTGATGTTCCAAGCAAACAGAACAGGCAGAGTGATAGTTCCACTGGCAGAGAAAAGGCAGGGCAATGCTCTAACAGGTAGATAACAATCAAAGTAATTATCCAACATGCACAGACAGACGGAGTAATGGTTCTAGCCTATATCTGCCAACTGCCTGAGCTAAACAGCATACCTGGGTCATGCAGGTGGTTCAGAACTACAGAAGGATCATTGTTAAATAATCTGTTTCCATCTTTAGGCCCGAAGACGGAAGAAGCAGTCCTCTGATAAAGGGGACAAATTCTGCCAGTGCATGGGGCCTCAACAGGAACAGTGACTGGGAGCACGCTCCCTGATTATTTGGGCAAATTTAGTGAAGTGAGTCTCAGCTTTCAGCTGCCATTAATATCACAGAGTCATAGAGTCAGTTACACCTCAGAGGGAGTCCATGCCAGCTCCCTGTCGAGCTATCCAGTCAGCCCCACTTCCACATTCATTCCCTATTGCCCTGCAACTTTCACTCACGCACTGTTGGAAAAGGTGCTTCTCCATATTCTCTGCCACTCCCAGCACCATTCCCGTGCCCCCAACACCATTCCCTATGCCCAGCACATGCCCCGCCACTCCTAGCACCATTCTCCATGTCCCAAACACCATTTCCTACCCCAACCACATTCCCTGCCACTCCCAGCATCATTCCCATGCCCCCTGTACATTCCTCACCCACCGCCAGTGCAAATTCTCAACCCCAGCAGATCCCTCACCGATACCCAGCACCATTCACTACACCCCCTCTACACTCAAATATCTGTGCCCTTTTGTCCTTGTGCACTTAGCTGGAGGGGTGAGTTGTTCCTTGCCTACTTTCTCTCATTCATAAGTATTCTTCACAGATGTTTAGCTGGCATGTATCTCACCCTCTCCCAGTCCTGTGCTGCCGCTACACAGGAGTCCTACTTTAGTCCACTTTCTCCTCTGTCTCCTAAATGCATTGTCTGCCAAACCTCCCTTCAACCACAGCATCTGTCTACTATCTGACTGAAGTATTGTTCCCTCTCATGCTCCTCAATCTCCTCCTCTCAGTCTTTTGCTCTCAGATGTTATTCATTAATTTTGTCTCTTCTCTAACCATTTCCAGCACTTCCTTATTAATGTGTGTGTATTTGTGTGTGTATTTGTGTAGCTGTGTGTGTGTACGTGTGTGTGTGTGAATGGATCATCCTTCTGTGCACAACTCCAATGTATTGAGCTCACACAGTAATTTCTTTGTCTAATGACAATGTCTCCGAGCTGTGTGACATCAATGACAGAATATAACAGTTCAGCATTCTTTTCCAGAGATTCAGATTCAGTTTGAATGGTGTTAACACAGCCTTCATTCAGGAAGGCAATGGTGTTATCGCTGGACTGTTAATCCAGAGACCCTGATAATGCTCTGGGGACCCCGGTTCAAATCCTGCCACAGCAGATGGTGGAATTTGAATTCAATAAAATATCTGGAATTAAGAGTCTAATGATGACCATGAATCCATTGCTGATTGTTGGAAAAAAACCCATCTGGCTCACTAATGGCCTTTAGGGAAGGAAACTGCCACCCTTATCTGATCTGGCCTACATGTGACTCCAGACCCATTGCCCTCTGGGCAATTAGGGATGGGCAATACATGCTGCCTAGCCGGTAATGCTTTCATCCTGTTGATGAATAAAGGGGAAAAAAAATATCTATTCTAGTTTGTATCTCCCATTGCCTGTGATTAGCTGCCCAAGGAATGGGAATCTTTTCACTTACTCAAGGAATTTTTGCTTCAATTTTCTCTTCTAGGGTTAGGTCTCTGCCTATTACCAAGTCTCTTCATCTTCTACATCTTCATTCTTAATCCACATTCCTTATCTAAAAATATCCTAATCTAGAACACCACTGTCAACACCCCTCTCAACTTTTGCTCCAAGAAAAACATCCCCAGCTTTTCTGACCCTAACCTTGTAATGAATCAGACACTCCCGCCCCATCCCTAAAAACAATTTGGTAAATCTCCTCTGCATCTTCTTGAGAACTCTCACACTGTTCCTAAAATGTAGTGACTAGTTGGAGCCAACCAGAGATTTATGAAGGTTCAGCATAACTTCCTTAGTTTGTACTTACTGTCCCTTTTTGCAAAGGCCAAAATCCCATTTGCTTTACAATCACACTCTCAATATGCCTATCACCTCCAAAGATTACACCTGTATATTGTCTCTCCCTTTCTCATCTGCCAAAATACACCACCCCATAGTTACCTGTATTAAACTGCATCTGCCACTTAGCTGCCATTCTGCTAACCTATCAATGTCCTGTTACATTCAATTGGTACCATCCTCACCATCTGCAACTCCTCAGAGTTGGTATTATTGGCACATTTTGAAATTTTATTCTGTATTCTGATGTCCTTTTACATACAGAAAATAGTGATCCTAGCACTGACCCTTGAGGAACATCACTGTTAACCAGCTACATCTGATAAACAAACTTTTCCCAAAACCCACTGCATTCTCTTTAAACCATCTTTAGATCCAGTCAAACACTAACCCTCCTATTCCATCAGCCTCAATTTTTTTAACTAGTCTTTTATTGATTACTTTGTCAAACACATTCTTAAAATCCATATAGACAACATCCATGACATTTCCTTCTTCAGCCTGCTCTGATACTTCACCAAAAACATCAATTAGTCAATCATACTTTGCAAATCTGTGCTGGTTCTTCTTAACTAACTCAAAAGCTTCCAAATTCTTTTCTTTTCCCCAGATTATGTTTTCGAAAACCTCATCAACCATTGAGTTTAGACCAGTTGACCTGTAGGGATGTCCTTACAACCTCTCTTGAATAAAGGTGTCACATTCGCCATTTTCCATTCCTCTGGCACCATCTTTGTAGCTCAGGTACGTTCAAAGATTATGAAAAGTCCTTCCATTATCTCCACCACCATTTGCTTTAGCAACCTGGGATTCATCCTATCCAGGCTTATATATCCCAAGCTTTTCCAGTATTCTCTCCTCTCTCAATTTTCACCCTATCTAATGTCTGCACCATCCACTAATATTCTGTCAGATTCCTCTTCATTAATAAACACAATACAAAAGAGCTTAAGATTCTAGCCTTGCACCCCTCAGAACAGATTACCTTCATTGTTTCTGATAGACTCCACACTGCCTCAATAACCATTTATCATTTATAGGCCAGTAGATGACGTTTGGGTTCCCTTTTATGTTGATCACTCTTCTATTCTCATATTCTCTCTTGATCAGTCTTATTTCCTCTTCACTTACCCTGTCCTACTCCCCACTTCAAGAATTCACCTGAATCTGCATCATACACCCTCTTTCTGTTTTATCATAATCTCAATTTCCTCATCATCCATAGAACCATGACTTTGGCTACTCTACCTTCTGTCCTTGTGAGAATGCACCTAGCCTACACCTGAAGCATCTCTTCCTTAAAGATCAGCCATGGTTCCTTTCAGATTTTCCTGTAAAACTTCAATTCCACTTTATGCTAACTAAATCTATTCAGGTCCCATTGAATTTTTTTTCCAATTTATAAGTTTTACTTACAATTGTTCCCAGCTCTTCTCCACTACTAATCTAGCCACTACACAATGATCAATCTTACCCAGCTACTCGGTCCAGATCTAACTCCTTCCTAGTTAGACTGGAAGTATACTGAATAAGGACGTCATCCTAACCTCATTTCAGAAATCCTTCCCTCCTTTCTCCTTAGTCGAACATTACCTAAATCAACGTTTCAATAATTAAATTCTACAAGAATCACCACCCTTTTGTTCCCTGTAAATCTGGTTTTCTATTTCTCTGACTATTTGGAGGTCTATAGAATGACCTCAGTAGTGCATTTCTTGCTTCTTGAATCTTAATAAACAAATTTTGCCCTTTGACCCTTTCCCAGCTCCTCCCAAATGTTTGCTGCCACCCACCTCTCTTTCATCCTATGCTATCTTTATTCTGAACATTCCACATCCTTGTGCATTGAGAATCCAGTCCTCACTATTTTAAGCCACATTTTCATTATTGCCAATACATCATCGTCCCACGGAGAGATTTATGCTTGTAACGTATCGACCTTATTCACCACACTCTGTATTTACATATAAGCAACCTGCCTTTGTAGTTTTCCTTTTTCTTATTTTTCATTTCTATTATAGATGTTTTTAATCAATCTGTTCAGAAATGTCTTTACATACCTCTGGAACAGGTGAGACTTGAACCTGGGCCACCTGATCCAGAGGTAGGGCCACTACCACTGTAGATATTTTCTTATCAACTTGTTCAGGAGATGTTAGTAAACATCTCTGGGACAAGTTGGACGAACACAGGTTATTTGGCTCAGAGGTAGGGACACTACCACCACACCACAAAATCTCCCACCAGACTCTTTGTACTATTTTGATAAACACTTAAATAAAATCAATTAAATTAGATTAAGCCAAATTATAAGATTGCCAGCCCTTTATAAAGTTAAATGTCTAAAGCAAATTTAAAACTAAATTGAAATGCGTTATTGAATGGACATAATACACTCCACCCCTGTGGTGCCCATTGGTCACAGAGGGTCTGAAATTAGGAATAGGGTTAGGTCACCACACATTACATATCTGAACACACCCTGATTTGATAATAAACACAGAAGAGAGGGAGGCTGTCAGGTTTAACAATTCCCTCCACTGCCCAGTGTCTGCACAATTTTATGTCCTCCTTGGCCAGGCCCATGAGGAGATCCTCAGATCTGCCCTTTGTTCTCTGCCTGTGTGATCGAAGCTCAGAAACAAGGGACTGAAGCACAAAGAGAATTTAAGAAGTAGACCCGTTAAAAAAGTGAAACAGGAGCTGCAACCTCATGTGATCTCAGTACCTGTGGAACACAGACTCCTCAAGACCGCAGAAAGCAGGGGAACCTCTGAACCTCCTTCTGACTCTTTTTATTTTAAATGAACCAGTTCAAACAGAATCAATCCAAATTAAAATGTGATAGCTCCTTAAATGGGAACTGTGACAAAGATCAAATCACAACTGAAACTTAGAAAATTTAAATAAAAACTTGGTCTTGGGGAGCGATGATAGAGTCCAGCTCTTACTGTGCCCATTGGTTACAGGCTGGACAACTTTGTGCTCCCTTGTCAGGTAGAGATGTAACCATGGAAGAAAGACAGGCTGCTTGGTCAAACAGGCCTGTCCACCCCACAACCTCCTACCTTGTCTTGGGCTGTACTCCTTCAGGATATTATCAGGCTAACATGGTCCCATATGAAGCACTTGCTTTAGAACTCACCATGAAATCTTCTTGCGCTGCCTGCCTCTTCCTAATTTTCTGCACAGTCACCCACCTCCCAGCCTGAACAATCAGTGCCCACGGTATGGGCACCTGAATATATGATCCAGAGAAAGTTGATCCACCAAACACTCCACAAAGACTCCAGCTTCTCTAGAAGTTTGGACATCCTGAGCTCGTGCTGACCCAGCTGGGTACACAGTACACAGGGGAGCCCCAAGATAATGATGCCCAGGCTCAGCTATTATCCAAGATGTACATGATCCTCTCTTGTACCAGTCAGTACACTGTCTATATCCTCAGTATGTTTTTATATAATTCTTTAATTAGCCAGTCTGATACTGAGAGTTTATCGTTTCCCGGCTCTTTGTTTAAACCAATATGTGAAGCAGAGAGAAAAAAAGAGCAAAATACTCATCAACCATTCACCTAACTTTTCTCCTGTTATTGTTAGGGGCAGTCCGGGAGGGGGTGGGACAGTTCTAGAGGGGGTAGGGCAGTGTGGGAGATATGTGATGGGATGGATGAATGTTGATCAAATGCTTTCTAAAGAAAATCAAACTGTAGCATGCTTTTTGCCCCTTGGTATTTCTCAACTCTACCCGTACAGACTCCCCATTGTCAGAGCTAATATCCTTTCTCACTGCTGTGTTAATTTCCTCTTTAACCAGCAATGCCACTCTACCATCTTTTCCTTCTTGCCTGTCCTTCCTAAATACTGAATACCCTGGGACATTCAGACCCAGAAGAAAGACCCCTGATCTTTCTGCCCATACCCTTGCATGGGGTGCCTAAAAAGAATGGGACTGAAGTGGAACCAAAATTTGCAGCGCAGCTCCTTGTCTCACTCCCTCTTGGACTATCTCACTTTGTTTCTAATGTGATGCTTTACTTTCGCAGCGCTTTTCTGACTGAGGTGAGATGAGAGGGATTTCCTTGATGTTAGCACAGAATGTGAACAGTTATGTTGTCAATTTAACAACTACAACTGTGTTTCTTTGTGCTCACATGACTCCAATTCCCGATCCCCATTGACAATATTCCCATCTTTGTAAACTTTTGAATGATGATGAGATCTTCCTAATAAGTCCCTAGCAAGCTAGAGGAATAACCCAATATGTAAATTTAAACCATATAACTATCACTTTTATAATTTTTGATTCTTTTGTTAAATTCTTCATAAAATATAAATTTCAGTTATCATAGAATCATACAATACAAAAGAGGCCCTTCAGCCTATCGAGTCTGTACCACCAGTTATGGAGAAAAAAAATTGTCAGAAATGTTTTTACTATAAACATTGAGAGTCAACTGATTAGTTTGTCAATTCAAATCTTGACACATTGAGATCATATGTTATTATAAATTTTCATGAAGACTGTTTCAATATCAAATATTGATAGGAAAAGAATGAGTCTAAATTGTAATACAGGATTGCATACCACTGTTAACATTTCTCCCAAAAATATATTCATAAAATTAATGAAGCTGCATGACAAGATATTTTAGCTTGAAAAATACAGAAAGTGCAATTAAATTCAATCTATATCTATCCAGTATGTTCCACTCCTAGGTGCTTCAGTACAATAGTAATAGTGTTCATATTTACAATTCATGTAAGGCATACAGCCCAAGAGCAAATTATTTCAAATTGAAAATTACCATTTGCAAGATATAAATTAGGATCAATTGCATGTGTTTCTGTTCCATTCTGGGGGTTACATTTATAGAATTTAATGTAGGCCATGTTCAGATATAGCTAGTTACCAGATTGCTGGTCTCATGCAGTTGATCCCTCCAGTTGAAATATAAGCGTTAGATGTTACTGAATTTCAAAATCACTGTCAAATAACGTGATGGATTTGATATCTAATGTAACGTCAGCTGTTTCTACTGATCTGACATTTGCTCCATATTATTACAGATAAGAACACTGTCCAGAAAAATTCCAACAGCGAGTGACCATCTATCTGATCCAGTAGAGGGGCAGTCTCTGGGGCAGCACTATGACCATAGCACAGTTGGCACTACTGAGTAGCTGCTTTGATCTATCATCCAGGAGTTTCTGGAACATTATTTTAAATACAAAACAGACCAGTTTGTTAGAAGCCAGGTCAGCAATGCTGAAGGTTATGTTTATCCCACCTTCTCTGTAACTGCATGAGGTGCTGTGACCTTTTCTACGTTTATACTATCCACTAATTGACAAAAGTCCGACTTCAAGTAATGCCAACAGGATTATCAAAATGATTAAAAACCAAAAGAACTGCAGATGGTGTAAATGAAAAACAAAAACAGGAATTGCTGGGAAAGGCAACATCTGTGGAGAGAAATCAGAGTTAACTCAAGTTCTGAGGAAGGGTCACTCGATCTAAAATGTTAACTCTGATATCTCTCCATAGTTGCTGCCAGACCTGCTGAGCTTTTCCAGCAATTTCTGTTTTTGTCAAATGATTGCTTTATCTTATATTGTTTTCAATTTCTTTGTTCGATTTCTGGCTCAATCGCAACTATGGTTACAGATCTCGGACATATTTAAGGTATTTCCAATAAACTACAGTTCCATTAAAGAGATTGACATCAATGAGCACATTTTTACAGATTGTTCAGCATTTTTCCTTAGTGAGCGATTAAAAATCTCCACGTTACTATTATTTCAATTATCACCAATGCCCCCACAGTTCATTATGAAGCTCCAATCTTGAAGGCAGTGGTGCTCGCTGGGAGAATGCTCCACAAATCTAACCCCCACCTCAGGATGTTTGAATTAAGGGGTGTCATTGCTTACTGAAGCTACTCAAGAGAGGCCAATGTCTGATACTCCCCTGATGACACCGGGAGAAGGCTCTGCCTCTTGCCTAAACTGAGGCAGTTTCCCAATTGGTTTGACTCTGAACACCTGGAATTTCTTTTCAAAACTGGCAGCGAAGGGATCACCAGGTCTCCAGAGAAATACTGTGAATAGCCATATTGGGCCATTACATGGAGTCTTACACTAATCTCCCAGAAAGGATAAGACAGCAATTCTACAGAAACAAGATCTGACCAGTGAAATTGATGAGGGCAGCAAAAATTAATACTGTGCCTGAGCAGAAATGTTTAAATAATATGACTCAACAGACCGTCTTCTTCGGAAGCTGTTTTGCTTTTAAACAATGTGAATACTACATAAAGTTTATTACACATTATCTTTCATATATAGATCTATTTATCAGATTGATCTAACTGTGAAGCTTTATCTGTGTAATTTCACAAATAGTCAGTAACAGATTTCTATATAACTCAACAAAATGCTCTAGGATTGTTGTGGGTACTAATAAAAAGGCAAATATTCAAATAGTTGAACATTCAAAAATATGTCAAGTTATTGAATAACAATGAGATGCAGCTCCAAAGTGAATTGAATTTTGGAAAGTAATGATGCAATCTTCATTTGCTGAGCTTACGTACCTTAATCTCTACCCTCACCCATGGAGACCACAGAGCAATGGGTCTGTGTAAAGGGGAAATATTACACTAATGCAGCAGTTGACATTCATCCAGTCTTGAACACAAGGCAGTGAAAAGTTAGAATTAAGCTAGAACAGGCTTAGAATAAAGCTAGAACAGGCTTAGAATAGCAGGGTTACAGACAGGGAGGTAACAATGGAAGGGCAGGGGTCTATAGTGGGTGGGTTAAAATGGGGCTTATAATGGGAGAGTACATTGGGGAAGTTAAAGGGTGCGTTACATTGCAGGCTTATAATAGGGATTAAAATCACTGAATTGTTACGGTGCAGAAGGAGGTGTTTTTGCCTGCAATTTGCTTTTCAAATGAGAATCATCACCTTCTGCCAATCTCCTGCTTTATCCCGATATCCTTGCAAAATATTTCTATCTAAACAATCATCCATTGCCCTCTTGATTTCCTGAATTGAAACTTGCCTTCACCAAATTTTCAGGAATGCATTCCAGACTCTAACTACTCACTATGCGAGAATGTTTTTCCTGACTTCACCTTGCATCATTTGCATATCGATATGGCAGAGTTACAATGGTAGTGTTACAATGTGGAACATACTAAGGTGGGTAGCAGTTAAGTTAGGGGGTTACATTTTGGATATCATAATGGAGGGATAAAATGGGGACATTATAGTGAGGGACATAAAATGAGAGTGGTTAAAACTGAGGTATTACAATAGGAATGTGACAATGGAGCACTACAATGGGAGTATTACAAAGGTGAGGGATTACAATAGCGGGCTTACTTTTGGTGGTTATAATAGGAGGGAGGCCAGACTGTCAGCTATAACTGAAAGATGATCATCAGTATCATGATGTGCTTGAGCCTGGTATCCTGGCCAGCTCAAAGTCATGATGTTCATCACCTGAAGGTCAATCAAGCTTGACACAGAAGCAGGAGTCAGAGGAGGCTAAGGGGTCCCTACAGGAGGTTGCACACTCTAAGGGAGCACTGTCATACCAGTGAAACGCGCTCTCCACCTGTTTAGATACACACATCTCAGGATAATGTTCGGAAGCTACATCGTCCCACAGGACATAGTGCAGGACTTTCCAAACTCTGCTCAGCCATATATAGATGCTGAGCATCACGGGGTCATCTATAAAGACGGAAGCTGTGGAACAACATGGGAAGTATGTCAGCATCTGTCAGAGAGAGATCGCGAACCCCCACTTAGAGAAAGTGGGGGTGTCCATTTCAGCCATGGATATCAGGAGGTTTCAGCTATTTGTTTTAATGGCTCTCTTCATAGAAATTGTGGCCAGTTGGACACATCAAACAGCCAAATCAATGCTGATCTTTGTCAATGACCAATACACGCGGTCCTTCGCTTTAGACAGGATGGAGTAAAGCCTACTTTGACCTTTCAACCCCTCACTCAAACACAGCAAGGTTCTCTGTAGATCTTGGCCATCAGAGGCATGAGAACTAGCCATGACAAGGAAAATGACAGCTAAAGCAGAGGGCAGGCAGCAGTCCTACATTCTGGGCATCAGGCTCCTGGGAGACACATTGGTGGGCAGCTGGTTATGAAATCCTGCAAACACTGCCAGCAAATTGAGGGAGTCCAGGGTGAAGAAAGTCAGGATGTGGGAAACTTGTTGCATACCCACCTGGGGCACTAATAAAGATAGTCCTGTTCCAGCCAGGAGAATGCAGAAATTCTGAGACTCAGGTTGGGGGTTTGGTGTTATTGTTCCTTCATGTTCACACAATTGATCATTTTTTCAGGGTATCATCATTGCCTGCATGTTCCCATGGCCTGTGTACCACATGGGAGCTGCTCAACCATTGGGATCTCTCCTGGGGCAGGTGGGACCTGTACAAGAAGGATTGGTTACAACTAAAGTGGAGGGACACAAATTTTCTGGCTGGGAGGTTTGCAGGTATCACTTGGGAGGATATAAATTAGCTTGGCAGTGGCTTGGGAACCAAAGCAAAGGTGAATTGTTTGAAAGAGAACTAGAGAATAGGGCTAGTAAGACTCAGGAAGAGCAGGCAGGGTGTGGTTGCTGATCAAAGTCCGTCTGGTGGACTGAAGTGCATCTGTTTCAATGCAAGACGTGTAACAGGTAAGGCAGATGAACTTACAGCTCGGATTATTACTTGGAACTATGATGTTGTTGCTATTACAGAGACTTGGTTATGAGAGGGACAGAATTGGCAGCTTAAGGTCCAGGATACAGATGTTTCAGGCAGGATATAGGGGAGTGTAAAAGGAATGGGGGAGTTGCACTACTTGTTAAGGAGATATCACAGCTGTATTGTGGGAGGACACCTTGGATGGCTCATACAGCGAGGCAATATGGGTAGAGCTCAGGAACAGGAAGGGGTTTACTATAGGCTTCCCAACAGCCAGCAGGAGATAGAAGAACAAATATGTAAGCAGATTTTGGAAAGATGTAAAAGTAACAGGGTTGTTGTCATGGGTGATTTTAACTTCCCATATATTGACAGGGACTCACTTAATGCTTGGTCGCAGATGGGGCAGAGTTTGTAAGAAGCATCCAGGAAGGCTTCTTGAAACAGTATGTAGATAGTCTAACTAGGAAAGGGGCCATAGTGGACCTAGTACTGGGGAATGAGCCTGGCCAGGTGGTCGACGTCTCAGTAGAGGAGCAGCTCGGGAACAGTGATCACAATTCAGTAAGCTTTAAGGTACTGATGGCTAAAGATAAGTGCGGTTATCAGGTGAAAGTGCTAAATTGGGGAAAGGCTGATTACAACAATATTAGGCAGGCACTGAAGAATGTAGATTGGAGGCAGACGTTTGAGGGCAAATCAACATCTGGTATGTGGGAGGCTTTCAAGTGTAAGTTGCTGGGAACTCAGGACCAGCACGTTCTTGTAAGGATGAAGGATAAGTATGGCAAGTTTATGGAACCTTGGATAACGAGAGATATTGTGAGCCTAATCAAAAAGGAAAAGGAAGCATTTATCAAGACTAGGAGGCTGGGAACACACGAAGCAAGGGTGGAATACAAGGAAAGTGGAAAGAAACTTAAGGAAGGAGTCAGGAGGGCTAAAAGTCATTGGCCAACAGGATTTAAGAAAATCCCAGGGCTTTTTATACGTATATAAAGAGCAAGAGGGTAGCCAAGGAGATGGTTGGCCCACTCAAGGACAGGGAAGGGAATTTATGTGTGGAGCCAGAGGAAGTGGACAAGGTATTGAATGAGTACTTTGCATCAGTATTCACCATAGAGAAGGACTTGGTGGATGGTGAGTTTGGGGAAGTGTATGTAGATTGTTTGGATCATGTTCAGATCAAAAGGGAGGATGTATTGGGGTCTTGAAAATCATTAAGGTGGACAAGTCCCCAGGCCCTGATGGAATATACCACAGAATACCGAGAGAGGGAAGGGAGGAAATTGTTGGGGCCTTGAGGGAAATCTTTGCATCCTCATTGGTTACAGGAGAGGTCCCAGAGGATTGGAGAATAGCCAATGTTGTTCCTTTGTTTAAGAAGGGTGGCAAGGATAATCCAGCTAATTACAGGCCGGTGAGCCTTACGTCAGTGGTAGGGAAATTATTGGAGAGGATTCTTCGAGACAGGATTTACTCCCACTTGGAAATAAGTGGGAATATTGGCAAGAGGCAACATGGTTTTGTAAAGGGAAGGTCATGTCTCACTAACTTGGTTGAGTTTTTTGAGGAAGTGACGAAGATGATTGATGAGGGTAGGGCAGTGATGTTGTCTACATGGACTGCAGTAAGGCCTTTGCTAAGGTCCCTCATGGCAGGCTGATACAGAAGGTAAAGTCGCACGGGGTCAGATGTGAGCTTGCAAGATGGATAAAAAACTGGCTCAGTCATAGAAGACAGAGGGTAGCAGTGGAAGG